TGTTGGTTTCCGGCCGCCATGTTGGTGCCCATATGGATGGGCACCAGCATGGCGTCTCCATACAAATCTCTATAAATCTGGGTAAAAAATTTCTCCGCGTATCTCGCATAAGAAAAATTGCTGTGACCAGAATTTTGGCGAGAGTCTTTGCATATTTACGTTCTTTCATTTCCCAGATTCTGGACTTTATCTATTAACCGGTTTTGATTTTTATTTTGATCTATTTTGAATTGCGTGACACTGAAAACCAGCAATATCTGCAGTTTATGCCAACCTTTGAATTTGTTTCTTTAGTTCCTTCACTATGCTGGACGTCACCATACTGTTCTGACATTGGCAGCACAAGATCTTATTCAAGGTTATTATCTAGCAAACCGGCGAACCAGAGACTCTCATTCAACAGGTGGCATGGACTTCGCTGCTTCCGCACTGCAAACTCTGTAAGTTCTATTTATTGTCTCCACTTTGACAACCTACCTCAAATATTCAAAGTAAACTCCTCAGTGTCAAACTATTTTCCGAGATCGATGCATTTTTAATCAAAAGTGCTGTGATTCTTTTCACCTCCCACCCCCCCACTCCCATCCCTACCCAGTGTTTCTGTTTAGCTATCAAGACCAGTCACCATATTCAAGGTTGTTTTCGGGGAGGGAGTTAGAAAAATATTAAACAATTCCTTTGGCGTTTTCGGCGATCGGCGACCATATCAGAGAATTTTAACATTTGCCACGCTCAGTTGCAATTGGCGGTGCAAGTGTTTAGCCAACGTAACTAACGTTTTGACGAATGGCTCAGTTTATTCTTTTTCATTTGCAAGTGATATGCATGTAACCAGTTATCCGGCTTTCGTGAATAACAACCATCAGTATCCTTCAGTTGGAGTACAATAAGCGTGTTTTACTTCCTAGGACCAGCCTGGCTATCGCTCATGCGAAGTTATCCCTCAGGTCGGAGGTAAGTGAAGCAATAAAGAAATGCAATACAGCAGTACAGAGTGCTTTACATTACTTGCAAAAAAATTCGGACGATTTTAATGTCGGACAAAAAAGGGTCCGAAAATAAAACCATCCAAAAGTCCGAAATATTTACAGTACAGTATACACTTTTAAATAGCTCCAAAGCCGTTAGCTTCCTTTATAGAACGAACTATAACTGAGACACTGCAGCTTGAGATACAAAACGGCTTGATTGAAGTTACTCAATTTTTCTTATTTTCCCGTCGGTGTATTTGTAAAGCCTTGACCGGTGCAGTAAAACTGTCATTTTCGCAGATGTTGTTTCAGTCTAAAACGTGTTTTGTAGCCGTAAATTTACGTTAGTTATGTGTCACGTAAGTGTCCGAAATTTTCGTCTGAAATTTGTCTGAAGTGAGAAAAAAAGTGTCGGAAAATTAAACGTCCGAATTAAAAAGTCCGACAGTTTTTTTGCAAGTAATGTACGTAAGGAATATCCTGTCTGGTTCTAAGTGCTATTTTTGCGTGTATTGTTTTAATGACGCTGTCGGCACAATCCTATCGAATGCGATGGGCGAAACTACGAGCTAGTGCGTTCGCTATGCGTGTGCATTTACTACCTTTATGAATGCTTCTCTAAGCTGTGGTCTGTTATCGAAATTTTGCTTGCGATAATTTGCATTTAGGCCTGGTAATCGTGTGACGTTAGCGGCGTTGAATGCGAGCTTAACGATTATTTTCCACTGAATGAATTATAAACAAAAATTAAGGCAGAAATAGAAGTCAAACTTACTTCTAAAAAAAAGTATTTAGTTCGTCAACAGTACGTCAGTGATGACCAAAGAGACGTTCGGAGGCGGGTAAACGTTGAACAGCAGCCGTGGAGCTTGCGCAGCAGTTGATTTCCCGAGTTAAGCTTTGAGCATAAAAAATACATTATTCAGTCCCTATATATAAATCTGTTGACGTAGTAATTCCGTAAGTCCTAAATATACCTAAAGAGGAAACATTAATCGAGAACGGCTAACCTTTGAAGTGTGGGAAATAATTTTAACGTTTTTTCCTGCTATGTGGATCGTAGTACCGTTTAGACATTTCACTGAATTTACATATGATTTTAACTGTAGTGAGACTGGTTTGCTGCTTCTCAATATTCTTCGACGGATTACATAACAATGACAGCCGATTCGTTTGTAGAATGATACCTTCTATCCATCAAGTGAAATGTGTGTTACGTATTTTATAACATATTTTATTGCACAGCAGGTCATGAAGATCCTGAATTGACGTTCAGTATACGTTGATACTTCTCTTATGCTGAATTCGAATCAGACTCATGTTCACTGAACATGAAAAAAAAAACATGTCTAAAGATTTTTTTAGCGTGGTTTGATATAATCAGCGATTTGTTTATGATTTTAAGTTGAGGGATTCGTAGTGACTACAACTGTAAATCACCGGAAAAGTTATTTGGTTGGTTTAAAGCTAAGTTTGCAATGAAAAAAGAAATATCAGAGACTTGATGTTCATTGGAAACACATCGGCTCTGAGAATCGAAAAAGGCAGCTAAGATTTGATGTAAACTTTCTCAATATGTCTCAGCCGAGAAATGCTAAAGTCAGATAAGTAAACAATCGATTCCAAAACTTTTGAAACCGCAAGCAAGTCAGCGTATCATTTTTTTAAGAAGCGATGATCTCGTGAGAAAAAGCCGTCTGTTTTGACGTAGGAGTACGAACAGTAATAAAGCGTCGTCAAAACCGTTCATAAGCACAACTATTGTATTTTAAATACATGTTAAGTGGTGTGTATAATCATCTCACTTGATTTTAATTTCGGTAAAATTTGCTCTTTTTCGTTCCGCGACTTCTCAAAATGTTGAAACAAATAATAATTCGACACAGTTACGGGTCAACAAGAAAAGTATTGGGTTCTGCGTCGAGTAAAATTCAGAGGTTTACTTGTTAAGCGATGCAGTTTACGAAAGTGATCTCAGTCTCCCACTAAGACGAAGAATACACTCGATAAATAATCGTTTTTCAGCTGAATTATAATAAAACTGGGTCGTGCTGTAGTTAAAAGTAAAGTGTCCGACTTACCAAGAGCTAGCCTGGCATTACCAAAAAGTACTATTTTTAAGTTATTATTACAAGAAAATGGCCACTTTTTCGAACCAGTTATTATTAGCACTTTTCCTGTAAACTTTGTTTAGGTTTCGTTTCCGCATATTGTTCACTTTTGATATGATGCGGGATTAACGTCTAATATTTTAGAATTACAAAATGATCAGTAGGTATTGTTAAAAACTGCTAAATTTAAAATTTCTTTTGTTGGAAGTAACTTTTTACCTAATGGTCACCTGTCTTTGGTCCCAATAATAGTTGTTTTTTCACACGAATTACAATTTAAATATGTTTTGGAAAAAGAGTCCTCGCATTTTCACTAACTACCAAGTTAAATCGAGAAAGCTTCCCTGTATAGCGTTCGAAGAGGGCGAACCATGAAGGAAATAACCATTCGAAAAGCGTTGGCGACCGACTTTGCAGCCATTCTGGAGATGTCAGAGGGGATTTACAGCGGCCATGATTACTTCCCGTGTATTTTCCACCAGTGGCTGGCCAAACCAAACCGCACGATTTTTGTTGCTCAGTATGGAGACAAACTCGTTGGTTTGAGAGCAGTTCACATCGTGGACGAAGGCAAGACGTTTATCAGTCAAGGCTTGCGAATTCACCCCAGGTTCCGTGGTTTGGGGTTAAGTACTCGGTTGATCGACGCCATACATCAGCACATAAGACGGGAATATCCCAAGGTTTGCCGAGAACGCTTCACGACCAAGTCCGACAACATTGAACGACTTGCCATTCAGAAAAAATACGGTGACACCGCCTTGTGTGAGCGAGATATTTTGGCCTATTACGTCAACAGGGAAAGCCTGAAACCGCATCATCTGGAAGAGGTGGCGACCAATTTTGACGTGAAGGTCAAACCCTGTACAAGAATGTTTGTTTACAATTCTATTCTGGACGATTCAGTAGCAAACATGTTTCCTGGTCGTACGATCATCATCGACTGGGAACCTTTCGAAGCTCTCCGGTCCAATATCGATTGCATTTTTGAAGACGGCGATTGCGTCTTCTCGGACCGAGATGCAGACGACTGCTCCAATGGTCAGCTACCGAAGTCATTCGCGCATGGTCGGCGCTCGCCCCGAGTGCAGCACATGCATTGGGTGGCGTCCATTTACACAGAAGATCCAGTCATGTTCCAAGTGCACGTTGTTCAACAGCTGAGGAGCGCATGTCAGCAAGTGGAAGGTGATTTCATCTTCTCCACTTTTCACAAAGAGCGTCACACCAAATGGGGCAAGAAGCTTTTAGAAGAGAAGATCGGAATGAAACCTGTGGAATTCTTCCGTGATTTTGGACTGATGATGTTTGAACGAACATTTAAATGACTTGTGATCTGTAATAATTTAATTGTGCTCTTACTGAAATATTATTAGTAAAGCAATTGACTGAAGTTAGCAATGCATGTGCTAAATCTTGTTGACACTCAAATAAAGTTTATTTATGTATGTCATGTATGTATAGTACTGAAGTTATTACTTCCTTGTTCTTTCTTAAGGAGTGATGTATTTTGTTATCTTCTGAAATACAAATAATAAACTTGTCGTGCAATGACAATTATTTTCGCAATATTCTAAAAAAGTGTTAAGTTATTCCCAGGCTTAGCGACCAAAATGCCGAATTTTAACCACTGAAAGCTGTTTTTCTTTTTATTGAAAGGTTTTGGAAGAAGATGCTGTTGTAGCCATCGTATTTTACGAAGACTCAGTAAAATGGAAATATGGTAATAATGCAAACTTCGGCTGGGCTGTATGACCCCCCTTCTCTCACCTCATCGGTTATAGAATGTTGGAAATGTCAAATAATTTCTTTACTCATCTACTTATATCGATTTACTATGCTGCTCATTAAGTAGAATACCATTTAGTAAGCTACTCATAAGCTAGGGTTCGACTCAATCTTTCAGACCTAACTATGGAGGGTCAATCGTTAAGATTTCTCAGATTCCAACACAACAATTTTTTTCCAGGAGAAGCTTGATATGCCAGGTTTAGCGTTTATTTCCTTCGATGAACGCCAAAGCATTGAGATGAAGACTCTTTTCTTACATTAGTAATTTTACCTGTCAATAGGCTTTTCGTCTCTTGGTCCTGTTGATCCTCCTTCGCCCGGTGAAGATGCTTCAGAATTTTTTGGTGCAAAGGTTAGTCTTCGTTACCTCCCTAAGCACTGGAGCGACGTACGCTTCAGTAATTAAATAATCCGTCCATCCCTACCAAGGGGCGTTTTTGAAAATGCGCAGTGACCTCTTTGTTGTTAAAAAGGATGAGGAATTAGTTTTGCCAAAAGAGTTCTTTACCTTTTCTTCACTTCAGCATGCACTTTTATTGTCCTCTTAAGAACGTTCCTGAAGGGGGGCGGGCGGGGGTGGTGTTCAAATCCTATTTTCCAGCCCAGATTTTGCTCAAACTCCCATTTCACGGCCAATTTTTGCCCAAAATTCATTCCCGTTCTCAATTTTTTGTTTGTGATTCCCAGTCCTAGTGGCCTAAATCCGATTTTCCCAGTGATCAAACAGACAAATTCCAGTTTTCATTTTACCACCCAGTGAGGCCCCACCAAAAGACCCGAGAGGTAACTTACGGGACAAACGGGTCTGTAGGCGAGGAAACCTAAAACTAGACTAAATGAAGGGGACTTCAATTTCAGGGGACCGAAAGGGAGACGGGGAACCCTACAGCTACAGGTAATTCTCCTTCCGCCCGCCCGCCTGCAAGGGTTCAACTCGATTAACTTTGCGTATTTGGATTACAATATAATCCACATGTATGTGAGTCAACTTTGGTCAATTTTGTAGTTGACTGTAATGCAAATAAAAGCTAACCGTGGAAAGGGCTATTCTGTCACGCTGGCTGCTAAACTAAACAGATTCATTTGCACAATAGCCTCATAACTAGACGCTTTTGGGGCTCAAAAGATTGCGTGACGAGCCCAAAAGGGATGTGCTTTGGAGGCTAGCCAAGCACTCAACGTTCATTCATCTATTGGACGTTGGGATTGTTTCCAGTTCTTTTCGCCCTTGACGGACTCGAGAAAGCCGCGGAAATCGAGCCTACCTTGAAGGGGGGTCAGACGTTCCGACCAAATTTCCAGACGATGTGATCGGGGAGCAATTAGATTTTGTGAGAGTGATCTTTACATTTCAAAACTGGTGTCTATTTTTGAAATTTGTTCTGCTATTTTCCAGAATGATTGCAGGATGCAACAAATCCATGGTAGAATTCGACGTTTCTGCTCAAGTTTTAAAGATGGTTATTCAACTTCCTTCGTAGCGTTTCCACACGAGGAGTAAAAAAAATAAACGAAGCCGTTTCGGACTCGGATGATTCGGTCGCGAAATAAAGTATGGCGGAAATTTATATAAGAATTGTACGATGTTAAATATTTCGAATGTGTACGATTACATGTAAATCCTATGAATTATTTGAGGAAGAATTATTTTTATGTACAGGCGGCAAAGAATAAATAAAGTTGTGCCGTTCAACGTTTCGATTTGTTCTGTGTTTTTCTGAAGTCTTATACAAGGAAAAGGGCAGGTATGTTTTGCAGGTTGCAGGTTGAAAAATCGACTTTCCTCACTCGGACTTAAAAGTCCGAATGAGTCTACTCAGCACTTCGGTTAGCCGGAATAACACTCCTGTTAGCCTAAATTAGCTTAGGTTGCTTGTGGTTAGCCTCTATTCTGGGGTTTATTCGACTTCAACTCAAATAAACAAGTCGTTTCAGCCTGCAACCTACAACCTGCAACCCACAAAATATACCCGTCGAAGGAAAAGAGAGTGCTAATGAAGTGTACATTGCTGAGGTGACCTGGCACTAGGCACTAAGGCAGTAGTTTATTTCCGCTGGCCATTTTGCGGTGCGCTGTGTGTCGTCATAGCAACGATTATGTATCGCAATCGAAGTCACTTATTAGCGCGTTTGTTCACGGCAGGCAGATGTTTTGAGATAAAAAGTTATCGCATTTAGATACAAAAGTCGGCAATTTTTGCCGAAATGGCTGAGGTAATGTATGGACTGGTATCAGAAGCGAGGAAAAATCGGTTTTCAGCGATACCGAAGCTTACGGAAGAAGGTAAGTTAATTGAGAAACCAAGGACTCCCATAATCGAGTCCTTGTCTGTTGCCTTTTCTGCCTTTATGTATGTTGCTTTGCTGAGTTTCGTTTTGAGTGTATTACCATAATTTGATGTTGCAGATATCGTGAATGTATGGGACAATGTTTCGAAATTCATCGAAAGACAAATGGCGCTTCAAAAGGTTAGGAAATTCAGTGTTCCAAAATTTCACTTCACGCACGTGCAATGGAATGTTTCTTGTACCGCGAGCTTCGCGCGTTTATTGAAATCTCGAGAAAGTTTTATAATCACTACTGCAGATCTCTTTAAATCAAATAACTATCAACGATCGGGTTCAGCTTACATGATCCGCCGTGACTTTGTTTAAAGTTAAGAATTTCAGGATCCGTATTGTTTATAACCAAACCCGTCTTCCAAAGTGTAAACACTTACTAAGTGTCGTGACTCTTTCCTACAGGGGGTATGTGTTCCAGGACTCGGTACCTTTACGTACACGCAGAAAAAACTGGACGTTGGGAATAATAAATACATTCAGATCCAAAGACCAGTTTTTATGCTGTCGGAGAAGTTTGCGATGACTCATGCCCTGAATTACACCAAACATCACATCACAGGTAAATTAATTATAACAATAGCCAGTATTTCTATTCTTTCCTTTGTGGGGTTCAGGTGTTACCGAGGTACTTAATGTTTCGCTGTGGTTGAGTTATCAAGTCATTATAACTTGATAAGGGAAGTTCATTGTGTTCTAGAAGCTGATGTATTTCATTTGGTGTGCCCTAAAGTCAATTGTTTTACAAGAATTTTCAAGTTATTCCATGTCATCTTTCCTGCTACATGGCTCTTAAATGACTCTGAAATAATATTATTACTATTTATATCTGTAGGTCAAATTCCAGTGGTCCAGCTTAATTTTGCTGCACTTTCAAATGAGACTCCATTCAATAGAGACACTGTAGAAAGTTGCGTGAAAGAAGTCCTCCAGGCTCTCAGTAGATCTGTGCAAGCAAAAAGAAATGTCGAGTTCCACTTTGCTGGCATTGGACGGTTGTCAATAAGGGAGTCCAAAGTGAAAATGAAGTTCTATAAGGAGTTCTTGAGGAGTATGGATGGCTCTGGTAGCTTAGTTCATGCACTGTCTAATGTAAGTTAACTATGCATGAATGTTTGTTAGTATGGTACATGCCCGGGGGG